AATATCTTTGTCAAGCATGTAGTGTTATTGATGCCTGATTACTCAGGCAATGTTTCTACGGGTATGCTTATCAGAGAAAAGAAGCATATAAAGTCTAGAAATCTTTCTACATAATTACACCAATTTACAAACCAACACTTATTTTGTCAACCAGAGGATTAAGAACCCACTGGATTCTGTTAATAATCACACACACATGTACTTGTCAAAGTAACTTACAAATGAAAAGAAAAACCAAACAAACCCACCACCACCACCAAAACCCAAACAAACCCACCACCAACAACAAAACCCAAACAAACCCACCACCACCAACAAAACCCAAACAAACCCACCACCGCCAACAAAACCAAAACAAACCCACCACCGCCAACAAAACCAAAACAAACCCACCACCGCCAACAAAACCCAAACAAATCGGGAAGATTAAGATTCTGTTGGATGACTTTGGACAACCAACACTGTGAAAAAATGAGGTCAGATTTTGGTCATTCTGTCATTTTGGTCTTCTAAATTACAGCTCAAAGCCACCTTGGCAGAACATTATTGTAAACATTAAAAAAATTTTTTAAAAAGGTTATGTAATCCAAAAGGGAGCTATGACACTGATGGAAAATGAACTACTTCTCTCACTGTAATGAAAACTGAATGGGAAAAGCACTTGATACAAAAAATTACAATCTATGACTAGAAAACCACAAATGCCCATTCTTGGATCTCATTTAAATTTGTTCATTCTAAGAGGTAACTGGAATTCCTACCATTTTTTGATCCAGAAAGTCAACTACCTAGCAGTTTATTTTAAGAAGTACATGTCACTGGATTTGGTATGAACTTTAGATCCATAAGGTTAACTATATACATATATCATTTGGCAGTTTCTAAGTTACCACAGATACAGTACGTTGCATTTGAAAGTTAACGCTGCGAAAAGGAATGGGAAAAAATGAGAAAGGAATTCGCATTCGCATTTCGACCACAACTTTTCCCCCCTGTGAATTCGCAGCGAATTGGATGCGAAAGGGTCGAACGACGAGCGAAAACAGTGCGAACACGGTGCAAATCAAACACGGCGTGAAACATTTGCGAAAACATTGAGGAAAAAAAAACAGTGTGTGAAAACAGTGTGCAAATTTTGCGAAAGCTGTGCGAAAGGTTCCGAAAATCATGCAGAAACTTGTATGAAAGATAACACCAAAATGGGAAAATGTTTTCAAATTTTGGCAGCACACAAACTGCACCTACACCCACCGCGACATCCTGACTGCTACGGCATGCCCATTCATGGACAGTCCAATCGCTGACTTTTTCCAATAACCATGTGACCACAGAAAGTGACATGTCATCAGAAACCCAAGTGAAAACTGACCAGATATGTCACGCCGAACACAATCGGTTAAAAAATGCAATTTGCTACATGAAGATACACTTACAATTTAAGCAGTTGATTTTGATTTTATCTGTCAGTAGAAAGAAACCTTTCAGTAACGAAATATTTCATGTAGTATACGTATCTCAATATTGATTATTTTGTGTGCCAAACTACACCACGAGAATGAATAAAAAGTTGGCAAATAACCCATGTAGCAACAGCAGAGCAAGTTAAGTTTGTTGTAATACACACATTTCATGTGCCCTGAGACTTCATGATTTGGGGACTCCCATTTAATTACACAAAATTCAGACAACTTTTAAAATTTATTCTCCGACACTGAAAAGTGTTTATTTATTGTAATCCAAGAAAACAACTGCGCCATGCGGGCGCGGTTCGCAATTGCGCTGCATGGACTGGACGGCTCCGCCTAGGAAATCGCTACTTCACTGGACTACGACAGCACCCTCCACATGGTGAGTTGGCCCTGGCTGGCCCCTAGCGCAGACTCTTCACTGCATAACAGTCATGCACGTGGGGCCAGTGTGGAGCATTTCGCTGCACCATGCCTCTCGTTTTCGCAAGTTTCCACATAATTTTTGGAACCTTTTGCACCGCTTTTGCAAAATTTTCACACTGGTTTTTTCTCAATGTTTTTGCAAATGTTTCATGCTGTGTTCCCAAAAGATTTGCACCATTTTTACACGTTTTTTGCACTGTTTCCACACGTTGTTTGCCCCTTTAGCATCCGATTCGCTGTGAATTAGCTGCAAATTCCTAGGGGGAAAAAAGCTGTGGTCAAAATGCGAAATAGGAATGCAAATTCCTTTTGCATTTTTTCCCACTCCTTTTCGCAGCATTAACTTTCAAATGCAACGTACTGTATATTGGTTGACGAAGCATGTCACACACATCTCCTGCAGATAACTACTGTATGCTACCATTATATCAATGGATTCTTATCCAGTCCACAAATTGGTATGCACCATACAATGGTTTCAAGGTAAATTTGTTCTCTTTAACAATGAATACCTACAAAGCTGACAAGCAGCTGCAGGAAACTTTGAGATAAGTGTCTCGGAGAGACAAACCCAAATAAATATAATTGGTAATAAAAATTGGTAACTATTACAGGTTCCATTGCTATGGAGAAGACATGGACATCAGATCCCTGCCAAACATGAATAACACAAGCATCGTACAATTACCTGTTTACAACAACTTCTCCATCCATTTCTCTAGATGGACTTCATCCTTAAAAAACAGTGACAAACCAAGGAAAGAACAGAGAGAACTGGAGACCACAGAAGATGCCAAGAACAAGGAAGAAGACCATCATGGAGGCAGCTTTGCCTGCCCACTCAGGGGGAACTTTCCTGTGAGAGACACACAAGAAGAGTATCATTAATCATAAAGTCAGGTTAATACTTCTCTGCATATTCAATTTGACATCGTGGGGATGTACATGTACATCATGTACTTCATAGGCTACTTACTGAGGCACATACAGGCATTACATATGTAGAGCATTCAATGTACATGTACTAGTTAGCAAGGGTGTCAAAGTGTTAGACCAGATGTTCTCTGTAAGCACATCAAGTAAAAGCTCACCAGGTATGCAATAAGGATTCCTTCCTGAAATTTCAGGCATACAGGAAATGTTCACTCACATGAAAGGTTCCAATATTTATTAGAATTTGGAATAGTCTACAATTAGGCACAAGTAAATTTGGTTGAACAACTCCAAAAGTTTACAAATCTTCAAACCCTGTACCCACAAAATTATTTCCTAAGATCTGTCAAAAAAGCAAAGTTCAAAAACTGGGAGTAACTCACTGTGGGCCTTCCATCATGATGACTGTCTTGAAATAGCCATTACTGAGAGAAAAGATGATCATAATGATGATATAGACTGCATCGCCGAAGTAGACTGGTAAGGTACGGGTCACAGGTCGGTAGTTGCAGAGCACGAATAGAGGGAAGAACAGGATACGAATGTTGGACACAATCCAAGTATACCTGTGAAAAGGCTGGAGGATGGGAAAAGTACGTGTTCAGACTAATTATAACTCATACATTTATATTTCAAAAACTCCCACCTTGAGTTTAGAAACTCTAAAAACCATTCCACATGTGTCTCCTCCAAAGAACATATTTCCAACAGTTCGTGGCAAAGAATCTTTACAGAAAAACTACGATGGGGATTGTGAAATGAATAAACTGATGGACAAAGTCCAAAGTTAATAACTGTAAATACCAGCGCCAATTGATTGAGTCAGCTTGTCAACTATGTTCAGGAACGTTGTGAAGTCGGTCATTATCAAGTCTTTCATTATAGAGAGTTGAGAGAATTCTAAACGTTGAACAATTTCACCTATAAAACTGACAAATAATCTATACTACTCGAGTCAACTGTCTGGTGGGGTTTTCCAGTAAGATAGGAGACTATTCCAAGAGTGAGCACCACAAAAGCTGAAGATTTTTAGAGAAAATGCTACCAGACATGGTGGATATATGCGATTGGAATTTAAGATGCTAACAAGGTAGTCTGGACAGTGTGCTGGATATCCTAGCTTGTAATATTCTCTTATCTGAGCTGATAAGAACATATGATGTGGAGATACTGGTGGAGTATATACAATGTACATGTAAATTACCCTGATCTGAAAGACAGGTGTTCACAAACACTAATACCCTTCTGAGACTGTACCCCATAAATGTGGCATTATTGATTTTTAAGCAACTGCCAGTTACATGTAACAAGGCTGTAAAGTCTCACACCTTGAGTGCAAGACTCATGCATTTTGGGTACTTCTAATGCCCATGTGGGATTTATCATGCTACAACAAATACATAAAAACAGATTTCTTTTGTTTTAGCTACTGTAACCTTGAACCTTGACATTTTGTACCAAATGCGATAGGCTTCATGGGATTACTAAAACCAAAACACAAGCCAACTTTGAACTTGATGCAAGATAATGGTGAATTAATTCAACCATCAGTCCCTGTAATACTTACCCATTTCAAGATAGCTGGAACCATACTCCCAACAAAATCGCAAAAGTTGAATGTGAAGAAGCATGTCAGGGGAGTGAAGTAAGTCTCTGGAAATATGAAAACAATCAAATTAGTTGCTACAATGGGACAGCTTACATTGCACATGGTACTGAATACAACTTATGATAAAAGTACACAACATGGCATCATTGTCATTCAACTTGTCAGGAAGTATTATTGTGTACATTATGTGACACTGTAATATGGCATCTTCAATGTTTGCTTAGATTTAAGCAAGTTTTGAAAAAACTTGTTTAGTAACTTTTACAATCAGGCAAATGGAGACCAAATGATGTTTCAGGATGTCCAGCCTTTTCTTGTGTTCCTTTGTTTCCATGTAGCCATGGTCTCTCAGCTCAATAAAAGCCATTACATAATGAAGTCTTGAAATGCACAACTTACGGATGAAATCACTGTCATCTTCTTCAGATGTTGACACTATCCCCAGATTGAAGGCTGGGAATATAGCCAAGGTCACAAAAAACATCAACCAAACACTGATGGCATCCACCCAAATCTGTGGACAATACAAAGTGACCAAGAAATTCTACAAATTTGTAATGATCAATTGGAACTAACAGCAAAGTGTTACTGTCTGATACTGATTTAAAGACTATGATTACAAATAACACTAAGCCTATGGCAGCCCTGAAGTTGGTGGCTTCATACATTTCCTATCCGCCCTGAGCTAAAGTGTACCCCCAATTAGCAAAAGAAAGACAGGTGGTTACAAGCGGGTTCTTGCAGCTGTTCTGTGTGTACACAATGACCCTACATACTGGAATAAATTACTTCTGTGTACTCGGCGTACTCCCTGTCAAATGTGCACATACTTGCCTGCCTCATGGCACGTCAATACGGTGAGTAAAAGAAAAACACCACACCCTCTTTCGTTCTGCTCGGAGCGGATAGATGCATTACATGTATTTCTAGACAGTGCTAACCAATGGCCGTTATCTCTATGGTACACATGTATAAAAGTCTGCTGTACAACTATCCAATACCCAACCATTAAGAATGTAAACAGCAAAGATGGCTCTGACCTTTTGCCTGGAAAAATTTGAACACACAATTCCAATGTGTTATCTTTGATTTGAAAACAACAAAGCCTCAACTCAGGAAATCAGGCCATTACAGGAGGGCTGCATACACAAACAATGGGGAAATTTTATGTCATTGTTGGGGATATCACTTTATGATGATAATGCAGCAGTGCTATCTAAGGCTAAAGACAACATGAACACTGTACCTATTAATACAAAAGAGACACTGTTTGCAAAGCTTGTCAGCCAAGGGCAAATCAACTGGTTACCATCTCTTTTTTTTTGTTACAGTAGAACCACGTTAATAAGAGCACTGTTACCACAACTTTCTGCTTATAACAAGGAAATCTGTAGGTTTCAATCCTTTGTTCTTGGATTTTTCATTCCAGATTACACAAGGCTGCTGTTACCACAAGGTAATCTGCAAAGTTGGGGGCATCTTATTAATAAGGTTTAATTGTATTTATTTCTTCACTAATATGCATAATGCATGAAAGGATGAGAGAATTTTTCCAGCAGTCTAACTATACTCAACACAGC